GAAAACTGGACAAAACCTCGGATCAATTTGCCGTAGAATTATTGACCATTTGAATGAGGACAATTTTACCCCAAGAATTGGACAACGAAACATCGATCGAATGATGGTTTTGAAATCGTCCATCAATGACCATCGAAAGTGAGCCCTCGAGGTTTTAAGATTCAGACAAAACTTTTACCGTTGAAAAAAAAAAAAATGTTATCTTCCTCTGCGTGGGAACTTACTTGAGACAGATGCGTCGCGCGTGAGAATCTCGGGCAGATGTGGTCTTACGCACCTTATTTCTGAAGGACTACTCACCGGTGTGTTATGTATATATTATATATGTATAATTGTATACATATATATGTATATATATATGGATAATATGTACTCATTTGACATGTGACATATCTTTAGTGCGAGTGAGAATATATATATATGGTCACGCGAGTTTAACTCTCCTCTCCCCTTCTATATCGTCAAGTGTCACACTTCCTTCCGACTGGATTTTCATCCTTGCGGTGTGATTATAATAAGCGTACACTAACCGGCGTGTGCATGGAACGTGCAAGGAACGTGGCTTATAGATCATCCGCTCTTTGCCTCTCTGATCCTAATTTTTTTTACACCCCACTTTAGAAAGTACTTATAAAAATGTATTTAAAAAAAACGCGAGTCATAAAGTCAAATATTTATCTAAATCGGAATTAGTGAAAAGTGAGCTCATTTAAATTAGTAAGAATCTCACTTTTACTATTAATTAGTTAAAAATTTTACTAATTAAAATTTAGAGAGTGTAAATATTAGTTTATACTGCAAATATAAATTTACATTATAAATATAAAACAAAAAAATATTGAAATATGTTTTCTTATGTCAAAAATGACAGAATCTTTCAGATTCAGATCCTTCAAAAAAAAAGTGTTCCTTTTTTATCAAAACCAAATATTTTTCTCAGTCCAATCTCAAGGGTACATAATATTAATTCCACGATAAAATCAACAACTTAAAATTAAAGCAATTTCAAATTAATAACTCTCAAACGAAAGTGGATCTTTGATTTCACGAGGAGATATTAAATTAACAATAATAATTATTCATTATTTGATCTGAACGAAATCTCAATACATATATATACAAGATTGAAAAGTGAATGTTTGGTAAGAAGTCTTTTATAAACACCGGGCCTGTATAAATCCGCGGTAGTATTTTTTTATAATACCTTATTAAATTTGCAGTTGCCACTTACTACCTACCGAATAACGAGAGAAAGTTTTTTCGTCGTTTAATAATTAATCTCTTCAAAATGGATTTATCGCGCCTTTAACGAGCATCACGGATGTGACCGATATTGCCAGCTATTAAATTTAAATATCATCGTGCGAGGATTAAACTACATTTCAAATTATATACATATAACCCGAAAAATAATATCAAGCGTTCAACCAGTTTTTTTTAAATTTTAATTTTCAGTGAAGAAAACTCGATAACATTTATAGGTGGATATGATTGCATTCTGTCAAAATAACGCGTTGCACCCGAACTTGCGAAATAAATCTCGAAATGTCAAGTCACGATTAACAAAATATTTCAAAATTTATACCTGGGCAAAATCGCAAATGTGTGATTTTTATTATTAATAACATCTTAAAATAATGCTATAATAATAATGATAATAATAGTAATAATAATAATAATAAATATTAAAACTAAATTTTTTTTGTTTAATAAATTATTTTTTCATCATTTAATATTAAAATTATATACACCTGATTTATTTTAATAATTTACGAAAAAAAAAATTCTTTCCGCGATGGATGAATTTTGTCCGGATCTTCTCAAAAATCAAAGTGTATATGTATACAAATAAGGATGTGCAGTTTGAAAAATAATATAGAGTTTCAAGACACACAATCTCTTCTATAAGCGAAGGAAGATGATTCTAAGAAAGTAAATTTTACGCACGTAAAATCGTGTTTGACAAAAAATATTCATTCTGACTCGAGGAGCTGAATGATGCTACACAATACGCAATTTTTTTTTTTTTTTTTTGTCTTTTTAAAGGCTATATAATGTTACATGCGCCTGTTTTGCCGCAGTCAGGTGCTAAATGCGCAACGTAAACTCAGAGAAAAAAAAGAGAACTCATCGACCCACTCGAGCAGAGATAATACAATGAATGGACACCGGATACTACATTATTTACTCACAGTTTTTCCCCTTTTGTATACAGTATATATATACAATATAAATGCTAAACCCCCCCCTCCTCCTGTCTATTAGTCTTTACTGTCAATTAAGAAAAGGTAAATTTTTTTACACAAAAAAAGGGACATTAAAATTAGTAAAAAATACTAAGAAATAAAAAAAAATAAAATAACAAAAAAATACTAAGTAAAATAATAAATAAAAAATTAAAAAAAAAATTAATATTGTTATTCAATAAATAGGATTTTATTGAAGAAAATAAGAAGAAAAATTTACTGTTATTATATTCAAACTGTCAATGTGATGAAGCCATAATTTTTTTTTCACATGAAAAAGGACACTGATGATCTCGAGCTTGTTTGTCTTTCGCGCACTGGGTCGAATCTTTTTTTTCTCTCTCTCTCTCTCTCTCCTCTCGTAAACCGTATGAACATTATTTCGGAAGAAGAGAACAAGTCATATCAAGTGAAGCGTAAAACGACGTGCACGATACCTAATAACCGTACATCCGTGCTTTCGGGCACAGATTGACCCCCTCCTCACCACACTCCTTTGCAGGTGGGCCCCTCTCGCTATATAGGAGATAATGCCGTTTTACCTTTTTGGCCCCCTCGAGCAAAAGACGCGCATTTTCGACATTGCAAATTATGTGACTGATGAAGGAAGCGGTCAGTCTCGTATAATTGAAGCTTTCGCCAAAAAAAAGAAGAAATAAAAAAGAAAAAAAAAATTACATAGCCACAAAGGACATATGCTACTGATATATATATATACTGAGAGGAAAAAAAAAATTATTATCTGTAACGAACCACTTTCGCATTATTGTGATATTCCAAGTCCATATATATACGACTCTCTTATTCGCAATAAACTGAGGCGATCATATATAAAATATTCTTTGTATAACATTGTATGGAAAATATTTCAAGCCGAATTAAGACATTATATATATATATATATATATAAAACGACAAGTAACAAGTTTTTCAGGTCTTGATTATTTAATACATATAAAGAATTATTTTAAGTATTTTTGAGACAGGTTCAGCGGCGTAGTTGCTATTTCAAAAGAATTAATGACACAATGACAATTACTTTATTTCAAAATTGTAATTTACTTTGTATTTTAAATTATCTCGAAAAAAAAATAATTGCCTGTAAAATTAGAAACTGCCAAATAAATACAGGGTGATTTTTATTATTTTATATAAACAACTGATTATTTTAATCAGGTTAATTTTTATTCAGTAAATGACTAATTTAGAAATTTATTCCTTAAATATATTTTTAGAGTCCCTAATTTTCTCAAAGAAACCCTTTTTTTTGTCATCCGGAGTCTGGACCAATTAACAAATTAGCAGTAACAAGCCCTTTGGAGTAAAGCAGTTCCCACGTACTTTAAAAATAAACCAAATAAATCTTTCTGTATACTAAATGTACAAACGGAAAATCATACCTAAATTAAAAATTCTAATTTTTAGTAGAAATTTTTACTGAAGTATTATACTATTTAGTATAGTACAGTTTTTTTTTACTAAAAAATCAATTGAAATAGCGAAAAAAAAGACACGAATCCAAAGTCAAAACTTAGATGCTGCGAGGAAACAAAGAACAATTGTCAACACTGAATTGTTAAGCCATACCATTTCAAAAAGAATCTAAACACATAATCGGATGATTGAATTCGCTATATACGAAGAAAATACATCTTCTTTTTTTGAGATTAAATTTCCTTGAAACTCTTAACAATGTGCATTGAGTGTCCAGATCGACCCTAATTCGAGACGCGATCTGCACTTGCGATAAAGAATGAATATATATATATAAGGATGAGTCCTAAAATGCGTCAGCCTCACGGAAGCCCATAACGACCCCCCTAACTCGTGCAGCACACGAGCCCAATATAGGCCCCGAAGGATGCACATGCTCGATATTCCCATGGATTCCCTCATGCCTTATGGTATGTCGACGTGCCACAGGCGAAAAATATAGTATGAAGTAAAGGTCCGGTCTCCCCTCTTTCGTTTCGTTTTTTTTTTTCCTCTCTTCTTCTTCTTTCCAAACACCATAAGATTTCCCCTTCGTTCGTGTGCGGACCACGAGTACGACGTGTGTAGAAACGCACATGTCCCGAATTCCCACAGTCCTGCAATGCCACCACCTTGTGAGAGAGATTCTTACGGAGCACCCGGATTCCCCCCATCCCCCCACCAAACGATACCCATCTTTCTTCGTGAGTGAGTCGACCACGTGTACCCACGTGCATTCAATTCTCATTTGCCGCGCTTTATAATGCGCATGCGTAATCTATTTATACTCCATTTTTAGATGCTGCCTTTCAATTACAAATCATACTTTTTAATGCTTACGAAAATTGGAATTTTATTCTATTTTATTATTAATATTATTATTATTATTTTTATAATTATTATTATTGTTATTAATTTTCCTCCTTTTAAGAAAGAATCATCTTAGGAGGATAAGCCGAAGATTATTGACGTGTTTTAAAAATGATTCCATATTAGTACGTGACAATATGTAAATTTGTAAAAAAAATTTTTTTCCATATACATAATATTCAAATTCGATTAAATTCATAAAAAAGACATACATTTTACAGTTTTATATATAATACTTAATTATATATAAAATTATACATTCAAGAGAAAAAAAATATTTTTTTTCTAATCTAAAATTTGAATAGAAAGAAAAATTTCCTTTTTATATTGACGTCAATTTGTCTAAAGTGTTTGTTTAAACATATATATATATATATATAGAATTAAAAAAATTTACATATAAAAACTTACCGTCACCGCATTGACTCCAAATATCCGCAAATACGCAAAAGAACTATATTGAAATTCCTCTGAAACAAAGAAAAAATTATTTTTATTATTTTATATTATAATTAAAATTATAATTATCAATATTAATTAATTAAAATTAATATAGGAATTAAATATTAAAATATATGTTATTTATGTATATATATTGTATTTGTCAAAATTTAAATAAATAAATATTATACTACAATAAATAAGAAAATTACAAAATTATTTATGAATATATTTTTCCGTACACTAGTATAATATATAAAATAAAGTTAAAAATAGTAAATATATAATTTACAAAGAGTGGTGCGATTGGTGCGCAAGAAGGGTTTAAATAACATTGTGGCGTTTGCCCAAGTGTTGTATAATAGCTTTTAAATAGAGCGTAGGTGCCAACTCACATATATATATATATAAAGCGTCACATCATTATTTGCACTCGAGCCTAATTATATAGCCTTTTTATTCGTTTCTCCCCTAACATTGTATTCACACTCCCACATTTTATTATATACATACCCTCCCACCTACTCCCTGTCAATAAAAATCAATTCCTTTATATCAACTTTTACAATTCCTTATGTCCTTCAAAATAAGCAATACACATAAATTTCAATTTTAGTTTAAACAAAATAAAATAAATAATTTACGAAAGGGCTCATTTCTTTCTTTTTTATAAGCTCGTGTATATATGTAAATAATTAATAAATTAATAATAACAAAAATCATAAAATAATAATTAATAACAATAAAATTCATAAAAAATAATAATAATATAATAATGAATAAATTATAAAGAATATAATTAAGATCCGATATTTGTAGTAATTTAAAAAAAATCGATAAAATAGAATCATGTTACGGAAATATATATACATATATATACGAGGATTGAAAGAAACACCTGACAAAATTGCAAGGTCACTTAATTATATTCCTTTTTGCCGTGGGAATGCACCCCATGAGCCACGTGAGCTACACGAGTTATATATACCCCCTCTCTAAAAATACCATTAGGGGTCATTTGTCCCCTGGGGGTCAAGTGAGCCATCAATGGCATATATTTAATTTTAAGGGAACAATATATCGAGCAAGGTGCACTTTTTTTATAAATTTTCCAACTCCCCCTTTTTTTTACTTTATAGTCAAAAATACAATGTATACTATTGCGACATTATTAATATTGTCATAACTTTGAAATACATATATACATTATATAAGAGACCTTGAGAATTAATAAAATTTATTTCTATATAAAAGACAAAATATGGTTTTTAAATTTTGCAACTTAATTCAACATTTATTCACTTCAAGGTCTAATTTACTAACAAATATTTAACTATTTTAAAATATATATTATATAATTATCATAACTTTGAAATTGATAAAATATATATATATTATTATTCAAAAAAAAAAAAAAGAGAAAAAAATGTTCATTTTAGCGACTTTTAATAAAATTTATTTAAATATTGTATATGTAACAAACAAAAAGGAAAAAAAAACCGACAAAATATGGTTTTAAAATGTTACAATTTAATCGCAAATATTTATTCACTTCAAGGTCTTTACTAAAAAATATTTATCTAATATTTGATTATGAAAATATTATATAATTATTCATAATTCAATAATGATTAAATTGTATTATATTTTATATATATATATATATATATATATATATAAACGCTAATTTTGTGTATGTTATATAAAACATTTTTTTCCTTGATAATACATCGAATATTAAAAAAAAATAATATATATACTCAATAATTTTTAATGCGCGCAACTTTTCTATATATTTATACAATCATTTTTAAGTATTCCACTCAAATTTAAAGGATTTTATCCTTTAATTTTTATTAATGAAACACAGTTAAAAAGTTATTAATTAAATATTAAATTGTTAATAGTAAATTAATTAATAATTTTTTATCATTTTTTAGTTTAAATCTCTAATTCAGGTTTGGAGAAAAATATTAATTTTTTGCAATTCTAATTAGAATTACATAATTTATTAACTAATTATAACAGAGTGGCGCTTATTGACCGCATGACAATTTAGAAGATATTTCTGTCAGGTTGACACGAGTTTGCAATTTACATACAATGCATATATAATGTAGCGCAAACTTTTCTACCATAGTCAATGTGTGTGTAAAATACCCGATCCTAAATAAAGGTGTGATTCACATATACATAAAAATATATGTACGTATAAGTGAAGTCATCTTGATTCGTGTGGGTGTGTGTGAGATGTTCATACTAGGCAAAAGATATCGGCAGCTGGCCCCGGAATCGTGAGAGACTCGGGCAGATGGCCCGCTCGAGTCTCGAGTGTGGTGTGTCGGTACACAAGAGCAACACAAAAAAACACACGGAATCCTTCCTTAGGAAGGAACCACCGAGGTTTCCCACGGATCGCGAGTCTCATCTGTCCATTCTCCATTCCCTTTTTAAGTCTCCTCTCCACTGTCTGCCACCCTCGATCTTGACACGTTTCACCACTAATATTCGCGTCACTGGATCGTCCATCTCATTTAACTGTATTTGTATGTGTATGAGTTTACTCGCATTTATACGCGCGCGCATTCACTTAAAGAAAAAAAAAACACGTGGTTACACACGAGATGGTCCTCGATTGCCATTAAGTGGATGGCTAAGATTGACGTTCATTCTCTTTCACTTCCGAAAATCCATTATTCGACTCTCTTGATCAAATAATCACCTTCTTGTCATTTCTTATACAAAACAACAACATACACTTTTTCTAAGACAGCATTAGTAGAAAAAAATTAATTAATTCGAATTCGCCAATTTCTAAATATTTAAATAATAATTCAAAATATGGATCATTATACAAATTTTAAGTGCTTCAAATTGGCATTTGAAATTTTGAGTTGAAAAATTTTAATTTTGAAAACAATAAAAATTGGGTCAGTATTATTTTGACACACTTTTTTCGTAACAATTAGTTATATGCTTTTTTAATTTTAATTTTTTAATTCAGCCAACTTTATTGTGAGCAGACCACAATTTTTTTTTGATATTCGCATCGGTGCTCTTTTGGTCATTTAATAGTATGAGTACACTTTTGAGAAAGTTGCGTTGATCGCGAATGAATTGACAAGTTTATCGATTGGTTTCCTTTTAAAACGATTCTCGACTTGAAGAGTGATGGGCGCGCCTTCGAAACACCTGTACCCTGAGGTTTTGATCTCTGATCGGGAAATAAGAGCTTATCGTATAAATCAAAGAGGGGCCGATTTTTAATTTAGTTGTTTTCGTGTGAGTCAGGTGAAAATATGCAATTAAATGAAATCTCAAAGTTGTATTAAGTATTCGGTGTCATATACGTTTATATATAGCACATCATGAGAGGCAATATAATATATATATATATAGAGAGATGAATTTTGATTACGTTACTTTTTTTAAAGTAGGTTAATAAATTTTTCTGATTACGAATCATTTATTATTGGCTAATCTCGAAAATAAAGGGTAAAAATAATTTTTTAAAAATTAATATATAATAAATTAAATAAAATTAAAAATTATATAATGATCAAAATCATTTTTCAAAACTGTAATTAATTGCTGGTCTTCCATAATAATTACAAAAAGTGAGAAACTAATAATAGTTGCAAAAACCACAAATAGAACACAAAATAAAACATTTGTTTCGAAAATTAATACGATTAAATCTTAAATCTAACAAAATTCCCCCCTCGTTTCGTTCCACCTGTTGCGTTCCTAACTTGCGTATAAGAGAAAATTTATTGTCCTAGGGTTGAATCCAAACCATTCTTTTCAAACATTTTCTTTGACAAAACTTTTACCATTTTTCATCTAAATAAATTGATAAATAAATTTAAAATTTCCTGACACTAAATACAACAAAAAAGAGATCACTTATAGAAATATTTCGCAAAATTATTGTCAGATTGTAACAAAAAAAAAAATCAGGTATTTAAAACCCCTTTTTATAAAAAATCCACAATTCTAAAATACTCTAATCGATTTTTCAACAGAACTACTAAGAATACTATTCGACATGCACCAACCATAGGAGATTTTTTTCTTACAGCAAAGGGTCAAGCTCGCATTTCCACTAATCCCTTTGACTGATCCCCTTTTCTATAATAATAATACAACAAACAAAAAAAAAAAGAAAGCCTCGAGATGCGTCAAGGGGTCTCTCTATTTGGGGTCAAGTCGAGAATATATACGGAAACGGTTTTGACCCCATTCATCGAAACGTGCAGGAATCCCGACCAAACTCGTGCATTGCACACTTCCTATAAAAAGAAAAATAAAAAGAAGAAAAAAAAACTTGCTGAAAAGAGGCGCATTTAATTTCTATGGGGTCGAAAGGGGGCCCGAACTCGTGTATATAAAACCCACCCTCCTCACCTTCGAATAGGGGTGAATTCTTACGGTATGCGTTACAATAGCAGTACGAGTGTGGGAACGCCAAATATACAACTTACGGTGCATCCATAAAATACCCGTATATGGGGTAGTATTACGGTTATATGCGGGGGTATGTATAAGACGCCACTCGACCACCGCGTGACTAATCAAAAAAAAAAAAAAAAAAATACACAATGACTGCACTTTAGCGGTACTTGTATATCCTTCGGAGAAATGAATCACTTTGCAAAAAAAAGAAAACCACTACTTTATACAACAAAACCACGCGATTTATACTGCTTCTTATGTACATTTTTTTATGGTAGTGAATTTGTCAAAGAAAATGCTCCTTTTTTCTAAAAAAAGGTCTTTCACACTTTTCATTGATACACCTGATAAAAAAAGCCGAAAAGATCCGACACTTTTTTTTGAATGAACCAAATTTTCGAAAAAAGTATAGAGGTGCAATACAATTATTTCTTAGCCGAATTTTGAGAGAATTCATTTCAAACGAATAAGTGGGTAAAAAGATTTTTATGAGAAATTCATGTGTATAAGAAAAAAAAATACTTTTATCTATTTATAATTCTTCAGTACTGTCTTTACGTATATAATTGATAGT